TAACTATAACATTTTTATTTTAAGAATTCTTGAGTTATGGATTGAGTGTTCGGTGGAGCGGAGTGGTATGGTTGTTCAACAGAGCTAGCTTTAGCTGAAAGCTGACAAAGCCTCCGTTTTGAGATTCCGAAAAATGATTAAAACATAGGGCCCCAAAAATTAATTTATTTAGTATATTCTTAAATTTCTTAGTTTTTCTAGTTTTTATAAGTGATTAAAGTTGATTTTTTGACGAAAAATCACTAATTCCAAATAACCTCTATTTTTTTTTCTTTAAGAAAATAGTCTTATAAGCAAATTTATAAAGGTGCCAAAAAAACTTAAGTCAAATTTTCTTATTCTAAACAGCTATTAAAAAAAAGTTTTTTTAAAAAAATATATCAAATTAATTAATTTTTTGAAAGCTTATTTTTAACCAATAAACTAAACTTTTTTGGCTAACTCTCAAAGATGTCTTCTATCAAAACAAAAAATATTTTGATCTTAAATTTTTTGTGACGGCATGAAGCATCAATTTTAGAAAGAAACAAAATATTGAGAATAACATGTGTGTATTTGGTTTGAGTTTTTTAGATTAAGTTTTTTGAAAACTATTTTTTTTGTTTTTTGTGTTTTTTTGTTTTTAGTGAATATTTTTAAAATTTTAAGCATTTTTTTTTTACTTTTTTAAATGCACCTTATTTAGATATATCTAAAAAGTAAAAAATTTATGAAAAATATTTTAAAAATTAATAAATACATAAAAATAAAAATAATAAATAATAAATTCTTGTATTTTTTTTTTTTGTATTTTTGGTATTTAGTGAATTTTTAAAAGATTCTTTTTACAAAAATTATACTTTTTATGTATATTTTTGTTAGATGTGTCTAAAAAAATTTTTTAAAAAAAATTGTTTAATATATTTAAAAAAAAATTCAGTAAAAACAAAAAAAAACATGGAAAACAAGAAAGTAAAATTTTCTGAAAAGTGTTTTTGAAAAACAAAAAACAAGCAAGCTAATCATACCATCTTACATGAATAACAAATGGAATTATGACTATTATATTCAATATTTACTAAAATTTTAGAACAACTTTGTCTTAAATTACCTCCAAGGTAAATCCGATTTTAGCATTTAGTTGTGTTAATTTGAAGAGACAAAAGAAAAGAAAGAAAAGAAAAATAAATGAAATAAAAGCTTCTTTTTTTTCTCCATTTTTCTCTTCTCTTTTCCTTCATCTCCACAAATTTCTTTCAAATTCTTAATTTAAACAAAACCTTAAATATCAATAATTAAAGCATTACAATTGTTTCAGTGGATAAAGACTTAGATGATCACAATCATGAGCTAAGTTCGAACCCAACAACCTTCTCGTTCACGCTATGAGATGTATATAATGTTTTGAGAAGTATTTAAAAGGGAGTAGTTTTTCTCTAGTTTGACATCGAACTAGAAAGGTTCAATTCGGTCCACGGTGACTCTATCTTGGATCTATCTCAATAATCCAAATTGTTCATTTTATCGAGTTCGTCAACCACTATAGCGATCCCGGGTTTACCCTTGTTGCACAGTGATCCGGACATGTGTCCGTGGTTGAGGGTAGTTGTTTATTATCTTGTTTGCATCCTTTTTACTTCGTATTTGAGTTATAGGATGTGTTGGGCAGGTTTGTTACAGGTTGGTTGAGTTTAGAAACCAAAACTAGTTGCCCAGATTTTGACCTGTCCGCTCGAGCGGGGGTGTTGGCGCTCGAGCGGGAATTGCACCCATCCAGTATTTTTTGTGCAGTGTTGGACGCTCGAGCGTGGTATTGGCCGCTCGAGCGGGGTTGTGTGAGTGCCGCTCGAGCGGGGAGTTGGGAGCTCGAGCGGAGTGGTGTTGGGGTCTCTTCACCACTGAAATCTTGAGGGATTTCAGTGGTGAAGATTACCAGTCCAGGGATAAGATCACTTGGGTATAACATCTCGGCCTAAATAATACACATCTCGGCCTTGGTGATGAACACCTCGGCCTAGATAATGACATCCCGACTAACATGTCAAGGTAAGAGTGGAGGTCAACCAAGGTGGTTCCAATACGGTCCTAGGTGTAAGGAGTTCAAAGGTGTAACCTAGGCTTAGGATGACCTCGGCTAAACTCACACCAAGCAAGAAACAAAACATGCAAACAACACTTATGCGAAACAAAATCAAGGTTTGCAATGCAACTTAACAAGACAAGATCATGTAAATACATGCAAGCATGACTAGAGTAAAGTGAGGGTTGCTACAAGTTTGCTAGGAGAGGAGTCAAGGTTGCTTTTGTTGTATGGTTGGTTGGTTATATTTCTGTGTTTCGTTTTGTTTCTCTTTTTTGGATTGGTTTCTCGCTAATCTGTGGGTTTAGTGCTAGCAGATAATTGGGCTTCCTCCTTGGTGCCAACCTAGTTGGGATTGTGGAGTGATAGCTATGATGTTTTTTGCATCTACCTTCTTTAATGATGTGTATTGTTCTTCTTTTGCTCATCCCATCAATAAAGTTACTATATAAAATCAAGGGATGAACCAAGTTCATAGATAGGGGATGTACTCCACGGTTTATGGGAAGATAGGGGATGGACCTCTAAACCGGATGTGTTGGGAGGAGATAGGGGATGGACTCCATAGATAGAGCTCATATGCTTATCTGTTATTGTGTTGACAGAGCTCATATGCTTGTCATTGGAAGTGTGATAGTGCTCATATGCATATCTGTGGAAGTGATGATATAGCTTGTATGCTTATCTGTTGTTGTGTGATATAGCTCGTATGCTTATCTAATATGATATGGGAAGTGTTTGATATGAGTTATTGTCTCATATGAGTTGTTTGGCCAGGTTCTGAGCCATGGTTGAAATTTGAAAATTGAAAGATATTGGAAAATGAGTTGTACTATGGACTTGTATGTCATGAAAATGTAAAGTGTGATAAAGGAAAGAATCAGTGTGGACCAACTATCAACTGCTAATCTTTTAGTCATTGTTCATATTTGGTTTAGTGTATTTCTACTGGGCTGTGGCTCACCCTATATGGGAACATCATTTTCAGGTACAGGTAGCATGCCACCTCCAAGGACATAGCTTGGGAGGCTAGAGGCGGACATACTTTTGTCGTTTTACTTTTTGATGTATTACATGTAAATCCAAGCCAAGGGCTTAAGGTGTAAATGAGTTAGTACTCTTTTGTTGTAACCAAGTGTTAACTTGGAAAGCTGTAAGCCCGTAGGGCATTTTGCTTTTGTTGTTAACATGTAATACTTTTGTAATCAAACTTTGATGAATAGAAGAATGTGGTTATTTCATATGTTAATGTTATTATTTTTGAGGGCGTTACAACCACATTATTCATACTAAAAACCAAAGGTAGGCTTGAGATAGGCTCACAGTAGACCAAACTAGACCTCTCCAATCTAATGGACGGGAGAGATGTTGATTTAAAAAAAAAAAAAAATAGAAGTATCAACAATTTATTCCAGAGACAACTTTGAAGTCACTTGAGTCATTGTCTAAGACTTGCTGAAAAATTTAAAAATAAAAAATAAAAAGTTTAATGACAAAAGCCTCACTTGTCTGTAAGGATATAGGTTCCATTAGTATATTCATAAATTTTTTCTCTATAATTTATTCATTTTTATACCCTCTCTCAAAGCTACAAAGGCCCATCTCCTGAAGGCCCTTGCCATAAGTGACCAAGTTGCAGTCATTCCAATATGACTTCTTGTTTTTTTAACTATTTCTACTGGTAAAAGCTTGAAATTTTAGTTACCAAAACTCCTAATTTATTCGATGCCACCTTTTTTTTCTCTCTAGATGCACGTAATTCCCTCTTCAACATATATCAGACAATTACAAGGCATATATATCCTCACCGGGTAGCTTGATGGATGCCACTGAGCATCCCCTACGGTCTCCATAGTTAGTAAAAGTAATTCAAAAAATGATCAAATAATATAGATTGTAAACCAAATCACATTAAATTTAATCGCAATACACTATTTTCTAGATTTCCATTGTCAAATGTAATCATTAACCTTATTTTTTCCTGCAATTTTAGTTAAATCAAGAGATCATTATTTATTTATATATTTATTTTCAGTCTAGCTAATGGGTTGAGAAAAAAACAATCAACCATCAAAAATCACATATGATACAATATCATCCAAACACAACATAAATCTATGGATAGTACAATACTCCGCCACAGAAAGAGCTACAAAACACTTACATGAATGGAGTCCAACAATAGTAGGAATCACACACACCTATGAGGGTTTTGGGCTTCCTATGGCTGAGATATGTGAGTTCCATCATTTCTGTTCCACGGAAGTTGATATTCAAAAACAGTATTTGGTGTGTCCTGCAACATTGATGCCCATTTTGAGCAATAATTGCCAATGTATGACAAATTGGACAAAGGGTTTGCAATTTTTAATTTTACATTTATCAAAATTAATTTGTCTCTAATTTTACATTTGTCTCTAATTTTACATTTTGTCTCTAATGTATGACAAATTGCCAATGTATGACAAATGTAAAATTAGAGACAAATTTGACCAATGTATGAGCAATAATTGCCAATGTATGACAAATTTGTCTCTAATTTTACATTTTTCAAAATTAATTTGAAGGGGTAAAATTGTAATTTTGCTACCTGTCACTGTGACAACCACTGCCAGCCTATTGTTTTTTTGTAAAAAAAAAACCTTTAATTTAAAAACGTTTAGGTTAAAATTGTTTTTAAGACTATTTTAACCCCAAATCTAAGTTCCCAAACACTGTTTTTAATTCTGCAAGAAGTCAAACATTTTCATGAATATTATTTAACAAAACAAATAAAAGTCCAGTAAGTTGACTTGTGAGATAAAAAAAAATTAGCCAAAGCCTATTTATATTGCTCAATTCATGCCTGAGACCCCATCTAATGCATTCAATTTAGCCAGATCAATTCAAATCATTACAACAGCTTGCATTCTAATTAAATAATTTGATTAGTCAATAAAGTTGTTAGTTCGTGGAAAGAGCCCTATTTGCTAAGCTGTCAAAGAAATATGGAAAAGCAATTTTCACAAAGCCCAAAGTTTCCATACTCAGCTGCAGCACCTAAAAACCAGTTCAGATCTCCATTTCCTCCTAGTTATCCCTTCAATCAACTAAAAAAGGCTATACTGCAAAGAAACACACAAAAGAGAGAATGGCAGAGACTGCTGTGTTCAATCTATTAGCCAAATTTTCACTCTTCTTTCAGCGAGAGGTGAATTTGTTGAGCGGAGTTCGGGAAGAGATCGAGTATATCAGGGATGAATTCGAGCGCATGATGGCTTTCCTCAGAGTTGCTGACTCTATGGAAGAAAATGACCCGGAACTCAAAGTTTGGGTCAAACAAGTTCGAGATGCTGCATATGACACTGAAGATGTTCTTGACAAATTCAAGCTTAACTTCGCACGTAATCATGGCACTGGATTCTGTGGTTTTGTTCGTAAGATTTCTTTCTCCGTGATGACTTTAAAAGCTCGCTACCAAATTGCTTATGAAGTGCAAAGAATCAAGAACAGGGTCATCAATATTTCCATGGGACATCAGAGGTACCATGATAGATATGGTATACTAGAGCAAGGTTCAAGGTCCATTGGTGTTAACAACGCATGGTACGATTGTCGTGGAGATGCGCTTCTACTTGAAGAAGCTGAGCTTGTGGGCATCGAGAAGCCCAAAACAAAACTGATTGGGTGGTTGATGGAGGGAGATCCTAGACTCAAGGTGATTTCGGTAGTGGGAATGGGAGGATTAGGCAAAACCACTCTCGTCAAAAAGGTCTACGATGATGCAGCAATAAAGAAGCATTTCCAGATTCGGGCTTGGATCACAGTTTCAGAATCATTCAAGATTGAAGAGCTCTTAAAAAGCATGATTCACTGGCTCTTTAAAGAAGTCAAGCAACCAGTCCCACAAGGAGTGGAAACCATGGATTGGAACAGCCTAAAAGGAATAATAAATGCCTTTCTACGTCAAAAGAGGTATGTGCTTGTTTTTGATGATGTATGGGATATTCAAGCATGGCAAGTTTTTAGATATACATTCCCTGAGTGCAACTGTGGAAGCCGAGTAATGCTTACAACAAGAAATGCTGATTTAGCCTTATTCTCTACTAGAGAATATAATGGCTATGTCTATGATCTCCAGCCCCTGTCTCCCCAAGAGTCCTGGGCCTTGTTTTGCAAAAAGACGTTTCAGGAGAACTATTGCCCCTCACATTTGGAAGGTCTTTTAACAAGCATCTTGAGAAGATGCGAGGGATTGCCGCTTGCAATAGTGGCTATCAGTGGTCTTTTATCGGTGAAGGACAAGAGCAGCGTAGCAGAGTGGGAGAAGACCTATCAAAGCCTTGGTGCTGAACTAGAAGTAAATAACCAACTCTTGAGCATGAAGAAAATATTGTCACTCAGTTACAGTGATTTGCCTCACTATCTAAAGCTTTGTTTTCTGTACTTGAGTGTTTTTCCAGAGGACCATCTAATTGAACATTGGAGATTAATTTGGTTGTGGATAGCAGAAGGATTTGTAGAAGTAAAAGAAGGAGCACCTATAGAACAAGTTGCGGAGGGTTACCTCAATGAGCTCGTCAATAGAAGCTTGATTCAAGTGGCGAAGATAAATGGTAAAAGGAGGATTAAATTATATCGCATCCATGACCTTTGGCGTGAAATTATTGTCTTCAAGTCAAGAGAGCAAAACATTGTGACAATAGCCAGTGAACGAGACACGAGGTGGCCTGAAAGAGTCCGACGCTTGTCAATCCATGATCATTTGGAACATTTACAACAAAGCAAGCGTTTCATTCAGCTACGTTCTTTGCTCCTATTTAGCGCTACATATTCACCAAGCATGTCGTCCATGCTTGCATCATTAAGAGATCTAAAGCTGCTGAAGGTGTTGGATCTGAGTGGTGCCTCATTAAAGATTTTCCCGAATGAAGTTGTCAAACTAGGCCATCTCACGTATCTAAGTTTAAAGGGAACTGAGGTAAAAAAACTTCCAAAGTCAATAGGAAGGCTCAAGAACCTGGAAATCTTGGACCTTAGACACACCTACGTCACTGAGTTGCCTGATGAGATCCTAAATCTCCAAAGATTGCGCCATCTCTTGGCGTTTCGATATGAAGAAAAACGTAATTATTATTCTTTTAATAATGAGTGTGGGTTCAAATCCCCGGTTGAAATAGGAAGTTTGACCTCCTTGCAGAAACTCGGTTCAATTGAAGCAAACCACGGCAGTGGCAGCATTGTACCAAGAGAGATAGGGAAGCTGACCCAACTGAAGTCATTAGGCATTATAAAGGTAAGAGGTGAAGATGGTATGGCACTATGCTCATCCCTTGAGAAGCTAATCAACCTTTATGCATTGTATGTTACTGCAACAGAAGAAGACGAGATCATTGATCTAGAATCTCTATCTTCGCCTCCTCGACTTCTCCAAACACTATTCCTAAAGGGACATTTAGAGAAGTTACCACATTGGATACCTTCTCTTCATAGCCTAGTGACAGTGTGTTTACGGTGGAGCAAGTTAAAAGATGCTGATCCACTGCAATATCTTCAAGGTTTACCCAATCTGGTTTATCTTGATCTTGTTGAGGCATATGAAGGGGAGGAATTGTGTTTCAAGGCTGGTGGGTTCCAGAAGCTTAAGATTTTATTGCTTATTAGATTAAAAGGATTGAGGCGGGTGACAGTGATGGAAGGTGCGATGCCTCATCTTGAAGAGCTATACATTGAGAATTGCAAATTGATGGAGGAGTTGCCCTCATGCATTGAACAGCTAATCAACCTTACATTGCTTGACTTATTTGATATGTCTGATCTATTGCTTTCCAAGTTGAATAGAGACCTGCCAGGTGGGGATTACTGGAGAATATCTCACATCCCTGAAGTTTGGATTGGGGACACAAAAGATGGGCGCTGGAGAGGAACTAATATGTAGAGGGAGAGAGAAAAAGAAAGTTTCTAACAGGTTTGAACTCTTCATATTCCAAATCCTTGTATTCTTTTGTTTTTTAATCTTTTTTTCCCTCAACTAGTTTATTTGAACTCCCCCCTGCCCTGCCTTTTTTTTATTTTTATGGACAAATAAGTAATCTTTTCTGCATTTGTAACTTTTCCATAACACATCTCTCAGAAAAAATGGCAAATATGTTTTATCATTTGCAATTATGACTCCAGTCAGAACCCAGTATTCTAATTGAGGGCATTTGCGAAATTGTGACTAAATTCTAACTTTGTAGTTAAACTTCTACCTATATCTTTCCAACCTTTCAATGTGCGACTGGTTATAAGCTCCCTTCATTTATCCCCTTTCATCACCGTGACACAAAACACTACAATTAACCCCTATGGTCAAGTCAAATACAACCAAAACAAAATGACCTTGTATTGCAATTCTTTCAAACAAGTGAATTGATGTACCATTTATTTTCGGAGTGTGATATGATTTATAAAGTAATGGAATTCATAATGGCAATTTGGAAGAAGTTTAGAGTTACATCGACATGCTTGTAACACAAAACAACACATAACTAGTTTTTTTGAAATCCTTGCCTTTTTTTTTTTTTTTTTTTTTTTTTTGCACAAATAAGTAATCTTTTCTACATTTGTAACTTTCCCATAACACATCTCTCAAAAAAAAATGGCAAATATGTTTATCATTTACAATTATGACTCTAGTCAAAACCTAGTATTCTAATTGAGAGCATTTGCGAAATTGTGACTACATTCAGACTTTGTAGTTAAACTTCTACCTATATCTTTCCAATCTTTCAATGTGCGACTGGTTATAAGCTCCCTTCATTTATCCCCTTTCATCACCGTGACACAAAACACTACAATTAACCCCTATGGTCAAGTCAAATACAACCAAAACAAAATGACCTTGTATTGCAATTCTTTCAAACAAGCGAATTCATGTACCATTTATTTTGGGAGTGTGATATGATTTATAAAGTAATGGAATTCATAATGGCGATTTGGAAGAAGTTTAGAGTTACATCGACATGCTTGTAACACAAAACAACACATTCAAAGACAAGGATTTTTAGGGAGATGTGGCCCATCTTGGGCTATGAAGAAGCTTATGGAAATACAGAGGCGCTTAGAGAAGCGTACCAACCAAATGGAAATTTGGACAAGAACAAGGAGGAATATGTTTTCGAATATGTTGGCTATTCTAAAGATCAGGTTTTTTAGTGTTTGAGGTGAAAAAAAGATTTGGTTGTTCAAATTGTTAGTTCTTATTTTGTTGGGACCAGTTAGAATGTGTTTATAATATTGGGAGTCTTTGCAAGTTTCTTGTTTCTCTTTTAACTTTTGAGAGTTTCCATATTTGTACAAAATGATATTCACAATCCCCTTTTAGTCTCTCACACTTTTTTTCTTTGGTCATGTTGCCTCTCACAAGGCGAGTGAATATCATTCCCCTATTTGTAACTCCAAGTGGGAGTCTTTTCATGGGTCGTAAACTAGCTCACTAAATTTATTTAGATGCCTTCTGTTTTTCAGAACATTTTAGTCTTATCTAATTGCTGTATTGGTGAATTCTGTTTCTAGAAAAAGATGACAGCAGAAAGCCTGAAAACCCTTCAATCTTGTAACAGTTCTGTCATCTAGCCCTTCAATTAGGAGGGAGGTCAGTGACTACACAAGGTGGGCTGCTATTGTCTCAGGTACCTTCTCTGTTTCTTCTCTGTATTAACTTAGCTATTTGGATGGGGCCACTCATCTGATGGTGAGTAAACTGGTGTGTAGTTTAGTCTTGCCTCCCAAAGTGCAATTTTTTGGTTGGCTTGCCTGGAAACATAAAGTGAAGACAGCTGCATTTTTGCAAAGAATTGGTATTCTCAATGGCACCTCCTCCATAGCTTGTAGTTTTTGTAAGAATTCTGAGGAATCTGTGCTTCATGTTTTATTGCACTGCCCTTTTGTTTGGGAAGTGTGGTCAGCCTTATTAAGATGGTGGGGTGTGGAGTGGGCCATCCCAGGTTCTGTTGAAGGAGTACTGCTCTGGTGGGAGGGTCAGCCTATGAAGAAAAATGAAAAGAAGATTTGGAGAATTATTCCCCTTGCTACTCTGTGGTCCATTGGGAAACTTAGAAATGATTGTGTATTTAGGGATGCCAAACCTGTAACTTGGGATTTGTTTGAGCTTATAAAAATCAGAGTTGCTTTATGGTTCAAAGCCTCTTGCGGAGATCTTCATTACTCTGTGAGTGATTTTGTTTTCAATCTTAATCAGATCAGAGTATGTATTGGTGGAGGTTGAGATGGTCTTGATCTATGGAGTGAGGTCTGCTGTGCTTATAAGTAGGGTGTGCTGCAGGATATTGTTGTTGATTGCAGGTTGGTGGTCTGCTGTGTTGGGAGGGTGTCTGCAAGTCTTTGCTGTTTAAGCCTTATTTTTGTTCTGTTGTGGTCCTTTGTTTGCTGCCCTGTTGCTGTTGTGCTCTGGCTTTTTGGTTGGTTTCTCACGAACTCTTGTGGATGAGTTTGCATAGCTCTATTTCTTTCTCTCATCCCTTTATTGATGTAATTGTTGTTGAATATCAATAAAGGTCTCTTTCTTTTGCTAATAAAAAAAAAAAAGTTGTAGCTATTAGTGATTTACCTGTGTCAGGCTTCGATATGGGAATTTGATGAAATTGATTTTACTATAGCATTCCAGCTCCCTACACTAGTGTCTCCAATTGCTTTCCTTTTGGCGGGTTCTAGATGAAGGGGATTGGATGCTTGACATGGGATTTGAGCCAGAAGCTTGTTCTATATTGAGCCAAACATGTTCTGGTATGATGTATCACTTGATTTCCTTTTTCTGTTGTTTGTTTTGCTTTTTCTGGTATTTTGTATCACTTATTTTTCCTCTTTCTGTTTGTTTATTTTGTTTGTCTTTCCATTTTCTTCTTTTTAATTGATTTCATATTGTAGTAAACACATGGCGTCCTTAGCAGCCTCATCCGTATCTACATTTTAGTTTGAGTCCTTGTAAACATTTTATTTTTATTTTTTCAAATTGCTTTGATTAGTTTTTTGGGGTTCCTGTAGGGTGTTGGGTTGGGATGCTAAAATCAAAGAAGTTTTGCCATTTCTATTTATGGTTTAAACATATAAACTACATTAATAAATTATGGAAAAATTCCCAATAAGTCCAATTTTTTCCATAAAATTCCCATCCATCCTTTTAACGCTGCAGTGAGAGGATTGATTCATGTGTTAATAGTACTCCATGGAAATTTTATGAAAAAGTAGGACTTAATGGGAATTTTCCCATAAATTATTCCACGATCTTTGGGATGCAATATAGGAATGACTGGATGAAAGTGATTTGCTAACCATTCTATTGTACAAACTAGATAAAAAATATAAATAAAATTACCATGGGAGTTTCAAGTCCTTACAATAATTGTATTTTGGTCATATCATCTAGAAAATTTTGAAAATATTTGGTGGGTCATGAAAGAACTGATATGTAAAATCTTGTTATTCAATGAAAGAATGTTGCAGGATGAAGCTGAGTTGCAATACTAGATAACCTCATGTAGACCTATATGATAATGCTAGATAACCTCAGTAGACAACAAATTATGCATTTATGGGTGTACATCAATAAAAAATTACGGAACATGTGCATGCAATAGTCCAATGTAGTTTGTCTACAGTTGGATACAAAATGAACATTCTACCCAATAATGCTTGCAAAAGCCTTTGCACTAGAACAGAGAGATACCTGGTCTATAATTAGCTCCAAAATATTTGATTACATCTATTTCATTGAATTTTTTTTGCTTCAAGCCTCACGGCAAATTTATTTATACTAGTGATTGAAATCTCCCAAATTTATGCAGCTCGTCAAATGGTTATGTTTAGTGCTACATGGCCTCCAGCTGTTCATCAATTAGCTCAAGAATTCATGGATCCCAATACAGTTAAGGTGTGGTTCTTTGTCCATGACATCAACTTGGTCTATATTTATTTCTAGTTTCTTTGTTTGAAAAGACAAGCTTTATTTCAGGTGGTTTTAGGTTCAGAGGATTTAGCTGCCAACCATGATGTCATGCAGATAGTAGAGGTGTGGTTAGCACTCTGGTTGTTTGAAGAATATTTGACTCTCTTTGATGATTTTGTTGTACACATGGTTGTAAGCAACTTGTAGTAGTAATGCCTCCTTTTTTTTATTTTTTTTATTTTTTTACCATTTGTAATTTGTAGGTCTTGGATGATCGAGCACATGATGACCGTTTGGTTTCTTTGTTAGAGAAATAGCGTAAATCACAAAGGTATCTTTTGCTAATCATTTACACTATTTTTCCCTTTCTGATTGGTTTAAGATTTATTCTGAGTTTCTGTAAATTGTGGTGATGTTTAACCACCATTCTTTGATTTAACTTAATAGATTGCTTAGGACTGATTTTTCTAAATCTCTTCATATGCCCATGCAAGCTGAAGGCGTTGGTATTTTGGTTCTAGTTATCAAATCTCTAACTTCATATATGTTCCCATTATATTAGTTGATAACCAAACCGAGCCAAACTAAGGCTTGTGTCCCAATCAAGAGGGTCGGCTGCATGAATCTTTTTCGCCTTATTGTTTTAGTTACGAGTGGATGGCGTAATGTTGTGAATTATGTAGTTTATATTATTCATTAAGGATAGTATAGTCCTTTAGGTTGTTAGGGTTTGACTCTATTAGATTATATATTTGTACTTGTTTGATTGATCATTCAACAGTAATACAGACAAGTTTGTTATCATGGTATCAGAGCCACGACTCAAATGTTAGCATACCTTTCGCAAGTCATCATCGACCATCGCAACCCCTTTCTCTCTCTTTGCAAGGCCTTACCTGGGGTTCTCTGTTCTCTTCGTTGCATTTTGCTCTTGCTAGTTGCTGGTTTTGAGCCCTAGGTTGCGTGTTCATCTAGTTGCGTCGGAGCCCTAGGTCATCATTGACCATTGCAGCCCCTCATCTGGTTCGATTGAAGCTCTGTAATTCCTCTGTGTGGCTCGGATTGGTGACCTCTCTCTCTTTCTCTAGTTCACACGATCAAAGTAAGGTCTAAAATTGGCCTCTCTGTCTCTATCTCTGAAATTGACTTCTGATTTTAGGTTTAGTCTCTCTCTCTCTGTGCTCTGCCTTGGTTCTCTCTGATTGATATTTGTGGTGATAAAGTGATTATAAGTTAACAAAATGAGCAAAACCAACATAACTTAAAAATCAAAATAAGGTTATTATAAATTTGACCTAATTGGTTCTGTAATTATAGCAATAACAACTTTGATTAGTCACTCCGCTTTTGTTTTACTGTGTTGCTTAATTATAGTACTATGGCTGGTGATAAATTGCAAGCTATCACCACTAAGTTAGATGGTACCAATTACTCTTATTGGTCTCAGGTAATGAAAAATTTTATAACGGCTAGAGGCATGTGGAACTACGTGATTGGTGTGACTATTAGACCTACAGAATCTTAAGAAACTGAGGTCGATGTTGCTAAATGGGATAAGGAAAATGCCCAAATTCTTATTTGGTTTCATAATTTAGTTCAAAGTACCATTGGTATGAATTTTTCCAAGTATTCTACTTCTAAACAAGTTTGGGACTATTTGAAAACTATGTATCTTGAGTCTAACTTTGCAAAACAGTATGAACTTGAGATGTCTATTTGCGGTGCTAGTCAGAAAGATAAGTCCATTCAGGAGTTCTACAATGAGACGACTACTTATTGGGATCAGCTTGCTTTGATGGAACCGTCAGATTTACAGTTACTTGATAGTTATACCAAGTATCGGGTGAAGCAACATCTTGTTCAATTTCTTATGGCCATTCGTGATCAATTTGAGCCACTTTGGGGAGCTATTCTTCATCGGTCTCCCTTGCTTTCTGTGGATGGTGTTGTTCGTGAGCTTATTGTAGAAGAAACTCGGTTTAAGGTGGCTCATGGTGCTCCTGCTTCCCAGTCAGTTTTTGCCACTCCTCCGCGCTTGCTAACGCCACCTTCTCCTTTATTTCAGGTTACTGGTAAGCCCAAGCCTCGGGTTTCCATGGATGAGTGCAACTTTTATCATTAGAAAGGCCATTGGAAACATGCTTGTCCTAAACTTTTGTAGCCTAAGGGACGTTCATTTGATCCACCATCCTCTAAGCTGACATCTTCGGGATCTCGTTCATCTGCCGTCTTTTCTACACTAGTTTCTGAGAATGGTCCTATGTTTGAGCAGTTCAAGTCTTTCATTGTGGCCAATCCAAATCTTTCATCCCAGGCCTTTGCTATGACTACAACTCAGTTAGGTTTGTCTGGTTCATCCTCTTCAGGTAATATCCACACTTCGTGGATTTTTGACTCTGGTTGTTCACATCATATGGCCCATGTTGCATCTTTCCTCAGTAATTGTGTCTTCCCTTCTTCTTCTATCACTATTGCTACAACTAATGGTTCTTCTATGCTTGTACACTATTGGTTTTATTTCCTCTTTCCATTTGTCTATTTCTCCTGTATTTTATGTGCCTCACCTCTCATTAAGTCTTATTTCTATTAGTCAATTATCTGATTTCGGTTTTGATGTTGTTTTCTCTTCTTCTCATTGTGTTATGCAGGATCGGGTATCCAAGAGGCAGATTGGGATCGGGCGTAGAGTTGGAGAACTATATATCTTGGACAACTTGCATGTTCCTCCAGAAGTGTCTTCTACTGCATTGTCTTCTTTTTGTTTAAACAATAAGTCTTCTTTATTTTATATTTGGCATTCTAGGTTAGGTTATCTGTCGAATCATCGTTTGAGGATGTTAGTTTGGTCTGGACATTTAGGCAATTTTTCCATTGATGATATTTCTGAATGTCGTGATTGTAAACTGACTAAAATGTTTGCTTTTCCTTTTAAAAAAAGTGGTTGTATTTCATCTTCTCTTTTTCAATTGGTTCATATTAATGTTTGGGGTCCTTCCCCTATAGTTACCAAGGGTGGTTCTCAATATTATGTGTCTTTTGTGGATGATCACAGTTGGTTTAACTGGGTTTATTTGATGACTTGAAAATATGATTTTTACAAAATATATTCTAATTTTCACTCTATGATTCGCACTCAGTTTTCCGCCACCATTAAAGTTCTTCGTTCTGATTTAGGGGGATATATTCTAATTTTCACTCCATGATTCGCACTCAGTTTTCCGCCACCATTAAAGTTCTTCGTTCTGATTTAGGGGGTGAGTATTACTTGTCTGAGTTTGAGGAGTGTTTAGCTACTCCTGACACTATTCATCAGTCTTCGTGTTTTGACACTCTTGCCCAAAATGGTCGAGCTAAGCGCAAACATCGCCATCTCCTTGATACAGCTCGCTTGTTGTTGCTCTCGTCTTTTGTTCTGTCTGTTTTTTGGGGAGAAGCTGTGCTCCCTGCTGCATATCTTCTCAATCGAATGCCTATATGAGCGTCTTTTTGGTGTTACTCTCAATTATTCTCTTCTTCGTATTTTTGGTTCTGTATGCTTTGTGCTTCTTCCTAAATGAGCGCGCTCTAAGCTTAGTTCTCGTTGTGTCCTATGTGTCTTTTTAGGGTATGGCATTAATCAGAAGAGTTATTGGTGCTATGATCCTGCCACTAAAAAGCTATATGTGTCTAAACATGTCACTTGTTAGAAAAACTACCCTATTACACTATACCTTCCACCCCTGTCCCTATTTCCAAGGATGAATTGGTTCGCATTGACCTATTTTCTCCTGATGTTTCTCCCAATGAGTTTGTTTTTGATCTTGAGGTCTCTACTTTGCCTCTTACTAGCACTCCTGACATCTTGCCAGCTATTTCCTCTCCAGCTCCCGTTTCCCCTGCTCCTCTTCTTGTTTATTAGCGCCACAAAGCACTTCCGAGCTCGCCTGTCTCTAGCTCTACTGTCCTTCCAGCTGTTTCTTTGGATCCTGCTCCTCCTGCACATCACTTTCCAAACCGAGACTGTCATCCTCCAAACAGGTATGGTTTTGGTAGTACATGTTTTTCCCTTTCCTATCAGTCTTTTCTTTCTTGTCTTCATACTTATTTTGAGCCTAGGTCCTAAAAGGAAGCTTGTCATGATTCCAATTAGATTGCTGCCATGAATGGCGAGTTAACTGCTTTGGCTAACACTTAGACATGAGATTTTGTTTCATTACCTGCTGGCAAGAATGTTATAGGCTGTAAAGGGGTCTATAAGGTCAAAACCCTTTCTGATGGTTCTTTGGAATGGTACAAGCTTATTTGGTTGCCCAAGGCTTTTCTTAGGAGTATAGGATTGATTATGATGAGACTTTGCTCCCATTGCCAAGATGACTACTGTTCGCACTCTTATCTCTGTTGCTGCTGCCCATCACTAGCCTTTGTTTCAACTAGATGTCAAAAATACTTTTCTGAATGGGCATCTTGCTGAAGAAGTGTATATGCGCCCTCCATCGGGTCTCTCTCACCCTCCTGGTGTTGTTTGTCATCTTCGCCGTGCTCTATATGGTCTCAAGCAGTCTCCTCGTGCTTGGTATGAGCGATTTCACTCTGTTGCACTTTAGCTTGGTTTTCACCCTAGTCATCATGATTGTGCTCTCTTTGTTCGGTGCACTTCTGTTGGCCTTGTTCTCCTTCTCTTATATGTGGATGATATGATCATCACTGGTTTTGATTATAGTACTATTGAGGAGGTTAAGCATCAGTTGTTTAAGGAGTTCGAGATAAAGGATTTAAGATCTCTTCGATATTTTCTTGGTATTGAGGTTGTTACTTCTCCTAGTGGATATCTTCTCTTTCAGACTAAGTATGCCCGCGATATTCTTTCTTGTGCCAATCTCACTGATGACAAAATTGTCGACACTCCTCTTGAGTTGCATGCTATGTTTTCTGCTTCTGATGGCATTCCTCTTGACGATCCCACTTTGTACCGCGAGTTGGTTGGGTGCCTTGTTTATCTCACTGTTATTCGTCCGGATATCTTATATGTTGTGCATATTCTCAGTCAGTTTGTTTCTGCTCCTCGTTCCACACATTAAGCTGCCTTACTCCGTACTCTGCACTACCTTCGTGGCACTTTGCTGCAATGTTTGCTGTTATCTGCCTCTTTGGACTTGACTCTCCGTGCCTATGCTAACGCTGATTGGGCAAGTGACATCTCTGATCACAAATTCACTTCACACTGTTGCTCATTTTCGTTTTCTTCTTGGCAAACTTTCGTTACTTTCTGGGCTCGCATCCTCAGTTTGAGGGGGTGTGTGAATTATGTAGTTTATATTATTCATTAAGGATAGTATAGTCCTTTAGGTTGTTAGGGTTTGATTAGGGTTTGACTCTATTAGATTATATATTTGTATTTGTTTGATTGATCATTCAACAATAATACTGACAAGTTTGTTATCAAATGTATCTTTATTATGCTGTGCATGTTTAATAGCTCTCAAAATGGAAAAACTCTTGAATGGTTTTCATTCTCGGTATCAGTCCTGCTGATACAGTTTATTATGCTGGTCTTACTTGGAGCAGGAATAGAGTACTGGTCTTTGTTTTGTACAAGAAGGAAAGCCCGTGTTGAAACTATGCTTTAGAAAAGGTAATTTCTCACTTATCTTCACATAGTTTCTGTTTAAGTTTCATCAGGCTAATAAACTGTTGCCACTGAATTGCCTTTTCTTTTTCTTTTTTTAATTTTTATTGTTGAACGTGTCAAAGGTTTACTAACTTGCCTCTCTTACGTTTTTACTCTTATGGTATCAAGGGTTTGGAAAAGTAGTTTCTATCTGTAAAAATAAATTGATGTATATTATTGATTGATATATTACAAGATTGTTGTATTGATTGATTTGTATTGTGTTATTTTCTGTCTATTACAAATGGTTCCTTATATAGATGTAGGTGTAGTGGATGGTGTGTGGATGGTGATAGTGGTGTAGTGGGTTAGGTTTAGTGGAGTAGGTGAGGTGGTAGTGGTGTAGTGGGTTAGGTTTAGTGGAGTAGGTGAGGTGGTAGTGGTGGTAGGTGATGGTAAATTCTAACACTATCCATGGTGACAAAGCACAACATGCACGTACAAAGGCAATATCACTATTCAAGGAGGGAAGCTGTCCTTTAATGGTATGCGGTTGTTTGAAAGTAATGTCATGAACTCACAATGATGGTTATGCTGAACATTTTGGTTAATGTACTCATATTTGCTTTGTTATTCACATTCCTTTATAATATGGCTTGGGAGAAGCAACACATTTATGCATATTTCCTTCATTATGGTCTTAGTCTCCATGATAAAATAGAAAGCGTATTTTTATCCTTTGATCTTTCTTTACAAACAAAGACGCTCTCTGCTTGCTTCATCTGCACTAAATTTTACTCCTTATTCTCCATATGCACAAATTAATGGATGCTACCTCCTCATCCCACTCCTGTGCAAACTTCTCTTTCCCAAGTCCCAACCACCGTTTTTAATTCCATTATAAAATGGGACGCCTTTACCATCTCTTTCATTCCTGGTGAGTATTTTTTATTTATTTATTTTTGGACATAAACTAAGTTGATTTGCTCGTGTTGGCTGTTTTGTCTATTTATAGTGAAGTGTTGTGATGTGTTTGGTATGTTGCAATGCTTGCATCATCTAGCTGGCACTGTTTTAATCTGTGATTTCATGCTTTGTTCCTTAATATATTGATTTCTTTTTGCCATAGTAGTTGATTTTTTATGAGCCTGTTCATTTTGGTTACATTTTATTTCTGCAGATAGCCACTGATGTGGCTGCCCGGGGATTGGATATTCCTGATGTTGAAGTAGTGATAAATTATAGTTTTCCTCTCACAACAGAGGATTATATCCACAGAATAGGCAGGACTGGACGAGCTGGTAAGAAGGGTGTTGCCCACACATTTTTCATGAAGGAAAACTAGGTATAATTTTGTATTATTATACAATACTACTACTGTTTTTTGATTTCCTGAATGGAACAATGTTAATTCATATTATTTTCTGACGAGCAACAATTGATTTTACTGTAGGGATTAGCTGGGGAGCTGGTTAATGTTCTGAGAGAAGCTGGGCGAACCGTTGGCACTCATGTATAGAAAAAGGTGTGCTTTCTTTTCTTTTTTTTATTATTGATTTTATTTTACAGGAGAGGGAGGGAGCAGGAGGGTTCTTATCTTTAGTGTCATGGTGTTTGGTGTGTAATTCCTCAAGGCAACCTACCTGATACATAATCTGACATGTAGGGTAATTTTTTCTTTGTTGCATGAACATGCACACGGAGCACATGCAAAATATACATTATAACTTGGCAACCAGAGATAGATAAGATGTTAATGTATAGGATTATATAATCGATGTGTATTTTGTAGTCTTCTTCGATAGAAGCATTTCTTTGAAAAAAAACAACTCGCGCTCGAGTTTGCCATAATGTGTGGGTGTGGGTGTGTGGACTAAACATGCCTAGAAGTGTCAAATGTGTCTAGTAGTGCTGGGATGCGGAGCCACTTAAATTTTTTCCATTAACCATTCATATGTTGGCATGCTTCTAACATGAACCCATTCTTGCTTGTGTTTTACTAATTTGAATTTGTGGAAGAATAGTGTATTATGCACATTTTTTTCCTACAATTGCAGAACCTCCTCATTTTTATATACTCTCTGGATGGATATACTCTCTGGATGGATATTGGTTCAATGTTGGAATTCATAAATAAACATATGGAACTCAGTGCTCATGTCAATGTATCTGCAACCTCCTTATTTTTGTATACTCTCTGGATGAATATTGGTTCAATGTTGGAATTCATAAATAAACGGAACATTTGTGTCATGAAAGATTACAACTTAATTATGTGTTTGACTTTTTACCAAGTGCTATTCACACATGCATGTTGAAAGAAATATTAAACTTGAATTTTAATGATAATCTTAATTCTTAGGAGAACAAAATGAGGAAGTTTAAGAGCATGAACTAGTCTCTATTTAGTGCCATGTCTTGTACTGGTGCATAATAGCTACCTTTCTGTAAATGTGCGCAGTTTGTGCATGAGTGCAATCCTGTGGCATATGTTCAATGATATGCCTTTATTAATTTTTTATTAAACCTCGTGGGAATGTCATGGCATCCTATTGTATACGGGTTATGCATGTTTAGGAGTGCAGATTATACTACCTTACGCCCCATTTGTGTCGGCAAAAATCATTTTCCTGCAGAATTTTTTTTCTTCCAGAAAACGTTTTCTCCTGTGGTTGCAACTTTGAAACTAATGTACTAGTGATTGAATTAATGGTGGTGTTAGTGGTGGAGGTGGAGGTGGTGGTGGCGGCAATGGGGTGTTGGTGAGGTGGTTGTGAGTGGCTGAGGTGGTGGTGAGGTGATCATGGCAGTTGTGAGTGGCAAAGTGGCAGCGGCATTGGAAGACTTTAGTTCGGAAAATGTTTTTCTCCTTTCTGAAATTAAAAAATATTTTTTGTCCAAATAAACTTGTTTTCAATGAACCACAAAATGTTTTTAATCATACCAAACACTAGAAAAAGCAGAAAATGTTTTTTGCCAAAGCAAACTAACTGTTAGTTTGAATTACTACTAATTGTCTTGTGTTGTTTTGATGCTGCAGAGTCTAAGCTTTATGGGGCTCATTTTAAGGAGATTGCTGCTAATGCTCCAAAAGCTACAAAAATAACATTTGACAGTTCTGATGATGAAACTTGACTCTAAAGCTGACTCACAAGTTGATTGTCTTGGGCCTGCAGCAAACATGTTTAGTGGATATTGTTTACCAAATTATGGTAAATATATATTTTTTTCCAATGCAGACGAAATCACCCTTTTAAACTTCGTGGGTTAGTATATGCTAACATGACAAGCACAGAGGCAAATGTGATCTTGAATGTCGAGCAAGATGATTGAGGTTATGCTCTATATTTTGTAGCGTTAAATTTTGTATTTGTTCTCTCCCTCATTCTCACACAGATTATCCGACTATGATGGTCACTAAACTTGTGTGAAACCTCATTTTCATTTTACTTTGTATTTTTGATGAAGTCCAAGAATGTGAAGTGTGTTGATAAATTATTGAGGTAAAAGGTCAACAGAATGTTTCTTTTTAGTGTAATATATAAGTATTGATTATTTGAAGTTCATGTATTACTACTGGGTGATACCAGCTTGTCAGCCATGATTCATGGTACTGCTTCTGCTTACAACTTGGATAGATTGTACTATGCTAGTGTGTTCTTAATTTACCACTTGATTTTTAATGTTCTGAAACAGTTTGTCTGCAAATTTTTTTAGTTGTACCAGTCTTGATAGTTTGAAATTATATTGAATCTACTGATAAATATTAACCAAATCCAGGTGTACCAAATGTAACTTTCCCCTGTGATCACACTGTGCCAGGGGTTTGTGTGAACTAACAAAATTAGCCGGGGATCCTAGGCCTCCATTTGAAACCCTAGCTGCCAAATATTGCCATTCCACCACCATTTGAAACCGTAGCCGCTGACCTCACTACCTTTTGGAACCCTAGCTGCCACCTTGAAACCTTAGATTTGGTTGAGAGAGAGTAGGGAGAAAGAGAGATAGGGTAGGTGTAAGAAGGAGAAGAGAATTTAGGGATGGGATTATGGTTGGAATATTGGGGGATGTATTGCAATAAAATATAAAATTTTAAATTGTTGTAAAAAGTAGAGGCTTCCCCCTCACTAGGGTTGCAAAACAAATTGAGATATTTCGAGCCTGACGTTGGTTTAGCTCATTGAAAGTTAGGCGAATTACCCTAATAGTTTTTATAATTTGAGACTTGTGTCACTTTAGTCATCGACTTTTCAAAATGTGACACATCTGACTTTGAATTTTGAATCTTGTTCCAAATAAGGATAATTGAAGATATCATTGCTTAATTTCAAGGGCAAAATTGTCAATTTGATAAAATATAAACTAATTTGACAAAAATAAATATCAAAAAAATATTTTTGAATTTTTAAAAAAATTTCTTCTTACTAAAGATAAAATTTTGTAAAATTGATAAGTCTTTTAGACATTTATTTATTTTTTTTTGCCAAATTAATTTTTATTATGTATTTGGATGATGATTATGTAATGGGTGGTTGTTTTTATTTTCATTAAATTAGTTTATATTTTTTCAAAAGTCAAATATAGTGACAACTTTGATGTAGTTATTAAACCAATCAATTAAATAAAAAAAATATAAAACTAAAAACATTTCATATGTGAAATATATTGATTACACATTAAAATCCTAACAACCACCCATTACATGATTATCATCCAAAAACATAATCAAAATTAATTTGGTAAATAAATAAATAAAAGATTTATCAATTTTATATAATTTTATCTTTGATGAGTATAAATAATTTTTAAAAATTTAAAAATATTTTTTTGACATTTATTTTGTCAAATTAGTGTATATTTTATCAAAATGACGATTTTGCCATTGAAATTAAGTAATAGTATCTTCAATTGTTTTTATTTAGAACAAGATTCAAAATTTAGGGTCAAATGTGTCATAATTGAAAAGTTAAAGACCAAAGTGACATGAATCTCAAAGTATAGGGACTGTTAGAGTAATTAGACTTTAAAAGTTTGTTTGAAATCAATGGAACTTGTTAGGTAAAGCAATCATGGTGTAATATATTTTAGTTTTTGTTAAGTTTTAAGTTAAACTTGAACAAGTTAGTATTCAGCTCAGTAAATATATATGTACTATAAAAAAAATTAGAGTAAATTATAATTTAACCCCCATGTGGTTTGCCTAAAAAATACGGAGCCCCCCTTATAGTTTCATTTGTAACACTTAAACCTATATACTTCATATCAAAGTGCAATTTTGGACGGATGTAACAGAAATTGTAAAAAGTCTAAATTACCCTTATTTATTTCTCTAATTTTCTTCTTAATGCCATTATAAACCACCAATCAACAAATTGTACAATCCATTTGGTCTTGATAGTGGTGAACCCAAGCATTGATAAGTTAACATGTGTACCTGAGGAGAAGGATAAATGGTAAACCCAAGCTTTGACTTCTCTTTCTTTCTCTCTCTCTCTCTCTCTCTATATATATATATATATATCTTCTCTCTCACCGTGATATCTTTTCTCTCACCGTGACCACCATCATCACCACCATTGCCCAGCTTCGTCAAAACCAAGAACCACCATTTACAAAGTGCTATAGATGAAGCAAGAGAAGAGAGTGGATGATGAAAAAGAAGGAAATAGATTTGGAGATATTTTTTAGAAATGTGTGAAGTTTTCGGACAACTTTCGGTATGCCAAAACCACCCATTTCAGGAAGAAGTGAAAAAATGAGGTAGCGTAGAATGAAGTATAAAGCAAGGTGGGGAGATTGGTGAAAGAACGGGATAAAATCGTTAAGAATCGGGAAAGTTATAGAGTCCGAAAGATGGGCCAATGAAATGTCAGAAACGGGAAGAAAAAGTGGGCTTGGTTGGTATGAATCCCATCAATGCTATTTCAAAAATCGAAATGTTTACACATATTAATTGTTTGATTTCATGGGTTGGGTTTGTTACTGGTGATTAAAAGCTCAAAAAAAGATAGTGTAAAGGTGGGAAACACAAGGGTAAAGGCCTTGAAAGCAAGGTGTAAAGAAGGGTGAACCACCCATCTACCTTTAATGGCCTTAAACCACAAGTTTTATCCCAAAAATAAAAGTAACAAACAGTCCAAAAAACTGTATAAAAGATGGCAAACAAGTGGTGTAGAAACGGTACAAAAGCAAGAGAAGGTATACCTCTTGAAGAAGAATAATCCCTTTAGTCACAAACCACAAATTTTACACTCTCAAGTGTCTCAAGAGCTAAAATCCAAGTCCAAATCACCTCAGCAAGGAACTCTCTAGGTTTGGTTTAGAGTGTTTGAGCAAAGGCTATGTAAGTTGAGAGAGAGAGAGAGAGAGAGAAAGAGAGAGAGAACTTGAGGTAAATGAAACAAACCAAAGGAAATTAATGCTTGAGGTAAATGAAACCCATGCTCAAACACTGAATTGGGGATAAAGATGTTAATGTTTTGCCAAGAGTGTAATCCATGCTTTATTGCACTACACCATTTTGTATATATATATATATGGCAATAAGGGTATCTTGGTCATTTGCCATATGTTTTTGGGTGGGAAAAATTGTTCCCACTCTTCATTCATGGTCGTGCAGCACACGTTCTGCTTAAACAAACAGTTTCATCGAAAATTGCACTTTGGTATGAAGTATAGGAAGTTTAAGTGTTACAAATGAAACTATAGGAGGCTCTGTGTTTTTTAGGCAAATCACAGGATGTTAAATTATAATTTACTCAAAAAATTAAATTACTCATGTTGAACTTGTAAAAGCTTGTTTGAGATTGGTTTATGTAAATATGCATGCTTGAACATTGTTTAGAAACTTGTTAAGTTTTTAAATAAGGAATTGGATTGTCTCCAATCCTCCATTGGATTGGATCGTCCAGTCTGGCCCAGTGGGCCAGTTTTTGGCCCTGTTTCGATGATCTGAATAGTTCACATTTTAGGGTTCATCAAATACATTATCTCTACAAAATATCAAATCGATCGAATAATAGAAATCATATGTTCAGATCAATTTTTTATGAATTATATATTTTCTTATCGTCTATTTTTTTTTCCATACAAAATTGATTCAAACACGTGATTTCCGTTATCCGATCGATTTGATTTTTTTAAGGATGATATACTCGATGAACTTTAAAATGTTTTGGATAATCAAAACGGGACCCAAAAATTGACCCAATGAGTCCAACAATATCTCTCCAGTCCCATGGAGGACTAGCGAGAAGCCACTCTTTAAGTTAAACAACTTATTACTTAGCTCATTTGCAACCACATTTCTCACTCGCTGTGGCAGGATTTTCTAAACCAACTAAACTAGGAAGTTGGTTAGGTGTGTTCAATAAAAATTTAGGGGTATTTAGGAAGTGTTAGATTGGTATTTTTTTTTTTTCTAAAAAAAATATGAAATATGAGTTAGGTTTAAAGTGATGTGATAGAGAGATGATGTGACCTAAATAAGATGATTGTGACACAAATAAGATAATGTGTTAAAATAACATGTGCTATTTTAGTACATGCTAGACAAAGTCTAAGTCTTGAACTAAAATAAATTTAACATGCATGAAATGAAAATTGAAATTTATGATTTTTAAAATTCATCTTTTCATTTTTATATTGTGGTGATTGATGTGGGGGTAGAGGGATAGTGGTTTGTTGTGATGATGTAGTGGTGTATTGGAGGTAAAAGAGTGATGGTGGTGGTAGTCAATGTTTTAAAAACCGGATCGGTGAGCAAACCGGAAAAGGGATTGGGTGGACGGGTCGCCGGTTCAATCGTCGGGTTGAATCGGAATCGAACCTTGACATCATAAATATATTAAAATTATATTTAAATAAAAATATAAGTAATAAAATTATAAATTAAAAATATTAAAAATATTAAATTATCTTAAATATTTCTCCTAATATATTTTTTACTAAAAAATATCTATATAATAAGGGAAGAAGGTTTTTGAATATTTGATGGGACTTTTGTTTATTTGTCAAAGTATGAACTGTTAGATTGGTTCAATCCCATGGTTGAAAATGTTTCCCTCACTTGGACATTTCAATGGTTCAGATTTTTTTGGGTGAATATCAATGGTTGAGATCAGTTTTCCATTTAG